ACCTGACGTCTGCGTGAGAGAATCCAGGAAGATGCTCGCCACCAATCACAAAATTTTGATTCCTTTCAGTGACGTTGACATCAGACATTTCGCATCCATAAATGGAATTTCGGTCCAGAAAGAAACGACAAGTGCCACATTGTATCGGTGTAATTGCAACTGACAGTATTATCAGCAATAGTTTAGAGCTTTAATGAGAAATAACAGAAATCGTTTGTTTTGACCTTCAATAAAAGAAAGATTAAAATCTTACCTTGAAATCATCACAATGAAATTAGTTGTCAACTTTTCAATTTCTCTCGAAGAACTGATCGAAATTTTTTTACGTTTCTGCTTTATTTTGATTTTGGACTGAGCTTATCTTGAAATTTATTTAGATATCGAAGCTTCTGATAAATGTTGATAACTCAACGATAAGCTTTTAATCAAGAATGACTCAAAGATGGTTGATGACGTCGATCGTGACTGAAATATTTTGAAGCTTTCACAAACATTTTTCAAACTTTGAACTCACATTTTGATTTTTTAATCATTTGATCTAAAAGATTAAAAGTTTATTTTTAAACTTGCAGAAAATGATAATAGAATTTAGTTTGCGTTTACAGACGTCGAAGTAAAGAAATTAGCTAAACCAATTTGCTCATGATCTTTACAGTAAATTCATCCAACTAGCACTACTTCTGCAGGTGCAATACAGGTTGACATCATTCTCCTTCTTTAATCAAAACTCTTTCATACCATTGAGATCATTGAGATCAAAGGTGTTTTGTTTGAGAGACTGCAAGAGATAAATTCATATAATTATGCTTGCAGTTTTACTCCACATGAGTAAGTTTGCTTATGAGATGCATTCGAAATCATCCCCAACATGAATGCAAAAAAGAGAGATTTTTTATAAAGTTTCTTTCAGTTGAGAAAAGGTTTTTATTCCACATGTTAACGTGCACAAGAGAAGACGTGTAAATCTTTCGCTGAGTGCAGCAAATTGCATTACAAAAGCATTAAGTGTTGAAGTTTAATTGTGCAACTAAGTGAAATCATTGAAGTTAAAGTAGTTTCTAAAAATTATCATATTCGATTAGAAAATTTAATTCTGAAGTAAGTTTCATAATATTTCTTTGATATTTAAAGAAGAAAAAAAGGTGTGTACTCAAATAAAAGATTAAATGTTTACCCAATCAATTAAATTGATGACAAAAACAAATATTTGAACTTTTTCTCGCATTATGAATCTAAGAATCAATTATTGATAAATGATTGCATAGATTGCATTATGTGTGAGAAACTTTCATTGAAGTAATTCATGCGTTACTAAATATTAACTTTAATGAGTATGTTCATGCTTCCTCTGAATTCAAAACTTCATACTTCGATGCAGTGATTGTGCAATTGTCTTCTGCAATTTCTTAAAGCAATCTCTCATTTTTTTCTTTCTTTCGATTTGCAGTCTCAACATTGACAACAAACTTGTTTTGTCTTGTTTTGGGGTTCAAGAAATGAATGAGAAGAATATCGTAAAAACAATAATGAAATGTGCAGTTATTTTCGTGTGAAAGTTGGCACAAAAAGAATTTTTGGATCATCTTTTGTTGCTGCAAATAATAAACTAAATTCACTGCATTTTTTTATGATGATTAACATTTAATTAATTGATAATTAAGTAAACACATAAGTCAAGTTAATCTTCTGAATATTTTTCTTCTTCCTTAAAGTATAATTCGACCATAAGGTTCAAGGTTGACTAAAATAAACAATTTTTCTCAAAAAGATTTTCGTTCATGAGGTCAATGAAACAACAACAACAAGAAATTGCAATCGAGGTGAACAAACTTCATTTTTTTGAGTGAAACAAGTTTTGCTTCATGATCTCTTCAAAAACCTTTTCGAAAACCTGTGCATGCAGATATTTATTTGTTACATAACAAGTTCATGTAATTGGGGAACTCGCAAGTTAATGCAGTTAATTGCAATAGTGTTCAAGAAACTCATCAGAAAACATAATTTGAATGAATATTATTCAATCGTAAGAAATTTGTAATTTTATTGCAATTTATTTTTGCAGAAAAGTTTCACCATGGAATCCGTACGGGAGTTTTATAAAGGAAAATCATTATTCATAACTGGCGCGTCTGGGTTTATGGGGAAGGTTCTGCTTGAGAAGTTGATGTACTCGTGCTCCGACATCAAGGAAATCTTCATTCTTATGCGACCAAAACGTGGAAAATCTGGGCTTGAAAGAGTCCAAGACTTCGCGCAGCTTCCGGTAAATAAAAATTCATTTCCAACTTTGAACTTGACATTGAATAATTTTTTATATTTTCAGCTGTTTCAAAGAATCTGCAATGAGAAGCCTGAAATGTTTCAAAAACTTATTCCAGTGTTTGGTGACATAACGTTGAAGCGTTTGGGTTTAAATGATGAACAATACGAACGCGTTATCTCTTCTGCAAATATTGTAAGATAATCATTTCCATTCATTGAACGAATTGTTCAAATAATTTAATCATGCAGGTGTTCCACTTGGCAGCTTCTCTTAAACTTGAAGCTACTTTGAAGCCAAACGTTGAAATGAATCTTACAGGAACTAAAAATGTTATTGAAGTTTGTCGGAATATGCCACAACTTTTGACACTTGTTCACTTATCGACTGCATTCTGTAGTTGCGATCAGAATGAATTACAAGAAGAAGTTTATGATTGGCCACAAAAGCCAATGGATTTGATTCGTTGTGCAGAGTGGATGACCGAAGAAGCGATGAATGTTATGGGACAAAAAATTATCGAACCTCATCCCAACACCTACACTTACACGAAACGTTTGGCTGAGATTCTTGTACGTGACGAATTTCCAAACTTGCCAGTTTGCATTGTTCGACCATCAATTGGTGAGTTCTTGTATCGATTTAAAGCGTAATTTCTAAATGAAATTATTTTTAGTTACGCCAACTTACAAAGAGCCAATGCCAGGTTGGGTTGACTCATTAAATGGCCCGATTGGCATAATGGTTGCAGGCGGCAAGGGTGTAATGCGATCGATGATGTGTGAAGCAGAATACACATCTGAAGTGATACCAGTCGATCAAGCCATTAGTGGATTGATCACAATTGCTTACACTGTGGCTACAATGAAACAAAAGTAAGCAAACAACTTGAACTTGCAGATCTTGTCATCGAGTGAACTTGTAATGTTTAATTTCTGTTTAGACCGAGGAATATTCCAGTCTTTAATGTTACATGTTCCGAAAAGAAGCGAATGACTTGGGGCACTGTTCTAAATACGGGAAAACGTATCAACTACGAATATCCATTCGAAGGTATGATGACGAGAATTTCATGAAATTTTATTATTTTTCGGAATATTTTTATTTCTTTCTTGTTCTTTAACATCACCAGCGGGGTTGTGGTATCCAAATGGAAATATTACAATGAATGTTGTTAAGCATTACACAACCTTATTCATCTGTCAATGGATTCCGGCATTGTTAATTGATTTTCTGATGTTGATCTTCTTCCAACCGCGTTTTATGATTCGCGTTCAGAAGAAAATTTATGTTGGACTTGGCGTGCTTCAGTTCTTCACAACTCGTCAATGGGATTTCCGTTCGAATAATTTCAAGGAAATTTATCGTAAGCTATCGCCGGAAGAACAAAAAATATTCAACATGAACACGGAAGAAGTGGAGGAAAATGAATATTTGAAGAATTGCATTCTTGGTGGTCGTCAATATTGTTTGAAAGAACCACTTTCGACGCTTCCAAAAGCTCGAATGCAGTTGAAATTGTAAGTTGCTTGTTGCTTATTGTTATTTAATGATAATTAATCTAATTGTGTGGGAAATTCTCTTACGTGATTGTGAACTTCAATTAAAATGTTTTCGTTTTAAATGCGACGTTTTATATTTGCTTAGACATTTTTACAAGTTTTTTAATTTAGAAAATTTAATTTAATTACATTTAAAAATCATTTTCAGTCTTCGTCTCTTGGATCTTCTGATGAAAGCTTTCTGGTGCTATGTGATCGTCAAATGGTTTCTCAATTGGACGGGAATGACTGACACATTGAATGAGATTTTTGCCAAGGAATCGACTGAGAATTTAACATCTTGACTTAGATAATTTAATTGCTTTTTTGATTATCGGATTCAATAAATATATCTTTGGACTTTGGTGGCTGGAAATCAATAAAAGTTGAGAACCTTTTTATTGATTCTAATTTTGTTATCATTTATAAAAGGTGGCAATAAAGAATTTCAAAGAGTGAGAAAAATAATTAATTACATCATGATGTGTAATTATTGTTTCATTTGTTGAGATCAAGTTTTGAGTAGCCGCTACAGCTACAATCAAACTCATACAGTACAATTTTTGTGGTTCCTACGTCAACAAATCTCCGTTGAACTTTTACCTTGAAAAACAAAAGACTTGTATCATGTTGTGTTAGCTTCAAATACTTTAATGCTTTAAGACAAAAATAAATGAAATATTTAAGTGGACTTTAAAAAGTGCTTCAAAAAATTATCTCTTAAAAAATCACTTGAAGCATTTTTGATATTCAATCTAAAACAAATTTTAAACAAATGAAAAATTAATTACTTTACCACTAAGAAAACAAAGTTTCAGAGGTTTTATGATTGCTTTATAGGTCATGAAGTAATTCCATTAATTAGTATCGAAATTGCTTCATACGCACGCAGTAGTTGGCATCAGGGCTAATTTAGCCCTTCAAAGATATTTTTTTGTATTTGAATCATATTATTAAATCGGAAGTGATCTTGAGTCTAATGGTTTCAATGTTTCAGCTAAAGATGTAAAACATTAAAAATGTTTAATTTTAGTAATTTAAAATGTGCAAACCTGAACAAATACAGAGAGAAATGAATCTTCACAAGCTTTAAAGGTGTTGCGTGCGATTCATATATCTACTTACTACAAATTTAATTGTTTTCAATCGATGTTCCTAAGTAGTCGCTTGTTTCATTCGTAATAAATACAACATTTTCAAGAATAATAATTCTCTAACGTGTTCGTGTGAGTCAAGAAAACTCGATAAAAAGGCTCAAGTTTTGCACCAGTTGTTTCATTCGATTTTGTGAACTGTTGCCGATAAGTCGCATTGTGTGTGATCATAGTCAGTTCGTCTTATCAATCAAAATGGAATCAGTGAGAGAATTTTTCCAAGAAAAGTCCATCTTTGTGACTGGTGCTTCGGGATTTATGGGAAAAGTTTTACTTGAAAAGTTACTTTACTCGTGTTCAGATTTAAAACAAATTTTCATTTTAATGCGTGAAAAACGTGGAAAATCGGGACCTGAACGTGTTAAAGAGTTTTCAAATTTACCACTGTTTCATCGATTATTGGAAGAGAAACCAGAATCATTAAATAAATTGGTCCCCGTTTATGGTGATATTTGTTCAGTTAATTTTGGATTATCCGCGAGTGATTTAAAGCGCGTCATTGATGAGACGAACGTCATCTTCCACATGGCAGCGACAGTGAACTTTGAAGCGCCGTTAAAAAATGCCATTGAAATGAATGTTAGATCAGTGCAATACATTATTGACATGGCTAAACAAATGCCAAATCTGAAAGTTATGTTGCATCTCTCAACTGCATTCTGTTGTGTCGATCAAGAAGTGCTACATGAACAAGTTTACGATTGGGATGTTGACCCAAAGAAACTCATAAGTTTCTGTGAGTGGATGGATCAACCAGCAATGGACACTTTAGGAGATTCAATCATTAAACCTCATCCTAACACTTACACATTTACAAAACGAGTAGCTGAAATTCTCGTACGAGATGAATATCCAAACTTACCACTCGTCATTGTTCGACCAGCAATCGGTAAGGCTAATGAAAATAAATTTAATTAGGATGCGTGATCCACTTGATGGTCGATTGGAATTTTTTACGAAAATTGATTATTTAAAAACCTGAAAGTTTCATTATGAAAACTTTCTAAGCCTGAAGAAACTTCGTGAAAATTTCAAGTGTCTCAAAATGGAACATCAACCCTAATTGTTTCGCTTTTAGCAATTTCAAGTTGTTTTTAATGTTAATAAAAAATATCTAGTGGTTCCTGTTTACAACGAGCCGTTGCCTGGATGGGTAGATAACTTAAATGGCCCTGTGGGGATTATTCTTGGGGCTGGAAAAGGCGTCATTCGATCAATGCTTTGTGATGGTACAGTTCATGCTGAAGTTGTACCCGTCGACTATGCTATTAATGGACTTTTACTTGTTGCTAGACGAATCGGAATATTGAAAGAGAAGTAAATAATTTTTTTGTTCTCTTTAAATATTTGAAATATTGACGATTACATTTTGAAATGAACAGACCAGAGAAGATCCCCGTCTTTAACATAACAGTACCAGAAAGATATCGACACACATGGGCACAACTGCTGGCTGAAGGGCGAAGAATTTTCCTCGATTATCCTTTTGAAATTGGAATTTGGTATCCAGGCAAGAGATAATAAATCAAAAGTCTTACAACATTAATTGTGACATTGACTTAACTTTCATTCACAGGCGGGGACATTACGACAAATAAATTCGTTCATTACTTCAGGGTGATATTCACTCAATGGCTTCCAGCTTATGGTAATTTATCATCACATTTTATACATTTAATTTTAAAATCGAATTCTTTTATCATGCATTCCAGTTGTTGATTTCTTTTGCGCGTTGACTGGTAGGAAGCGATTGTAAGTAATTATAAAAATGTTTTGTCATTTTTTGAGAGATGTGAAAAATTAGAAATAATTTTCGTTCGTATTTAGCCTCGTTAAAATTCAGAAGAAGATTAGTATGGGAATGAATATGCTTCAATATTTCACAATGAGAAAATGGGATTTTCGAATGGAACAATTCGATTTCTTAAGAGAAGGATTAACAGCTGACGAGAATCAAATCTTTCCAACTGAAGTTGAGAAATTCGATCATGAAAATTATTTAAAGAACTGCATACTCGGAGGTCGAATGTTTTGCTTGAAAGAACCTTTATCAACACTTCCAAAGTCTCGTGTGCAATTAAGAATGTGAGAATTATCTATTCAAAATTAAAAATTAATTCTAATTAAATTTTCATTTTAGATTACGCGTAATTGATTTGTTCGCAACCGCCTTCTGGATATTCATGGCTGGATGGCTTTTAAAAGTTTTCTTTACAAAATTAATTAACTTGATTGCTTAATTAACTTATTCTTAAATGTACCAGATGACAAATGTTTTTAATCTCAAATAAAACTATTTAAATTTTAATTTTTTCTTTGAACTTTTTTCGTTTTCTTTCAGTCATCAAAAATGTCAAAGCTTAGAATTTTAACTTTCATGTCTGCATCCAAAAAATGTTTCTCTTAAAAGCTTTATCATTCTCTCGAAAGCTTCAACGTTAAGTAAACTTAAGTACCTACGCCGGTTAAATTCGAAGAGTAAAGTAAAGACGAATAAGTAAGAGAGCGATCATTACGAGACAAGCACAGTTTAACTTTTTTTGGGAGATTGGTGTTGCCAGATGTATAAACATTAATTTACTCTTAACTTCATTAGTAAAATATTTATGTTGTGAATAATTTTCTAAAATATGAAATAAAAATTGAAGCTGGCAACCTTAATACAAAGTACCTGAAGAAAATCACCAAAAATATTTTCTCATCTTACAACAGTTCAGTTGAGTACATTTTTCAACTCTTTTCTCATTGGTTTCACGTATTTCTTATAAATAGCGGTCCATCATCCAGAATTTCTTCAGTCGATTGTCGTACTTTACGTAGGTTTGAGTTGGAAGTTTTGGGTTTTTGTCTGAAGAGATTAATAAGAAACAATTAAAGTGAGTCGAATTAAGAAACGAGTGAAACTTTTACTGAAAAAAAATTTGACTAAACATTTTCTTCACGTGCAATTGATTTTCGTCAAAACTGAAATAGAGAAAAGAAAAAAAAAGTTTCGTAACTTAAGTCTTTTGTGCGATTAAAATGTTATTGAAATTTACCAGCTGAAAGATTTTTTTGGTGTTTTGTGTGCGCTTCATCATCGCTTAAACTTCACATTATTAAAAAAGTTGCCAAAATTTGTTTCATTTGAAATTCGTTACTCACAATAGATACGCAACAAAGACAAAAAAAGAAGATTTTGTCTGGAAATTAACAGAAGCCGTCATGCTGAAATATTTGTAAATAATCGTGGCTCATTACAAATCTCATTTGTTTCTTTACCGAAAATCTCTAGACATTTGATATTCATCTGGATAAAAACGAATTAAATTTTCGTTGTTCCGTAATTGTCTGTCGTTGATTAATTTTCAACCTTTCGCCTTTACATATGCATACGCAACTTTTATGTCAATTTTTGTTACGTTAAATAACATCAAACGAAACCAAAAACAATCTGGAATTGCACTGATTTGAACGAAAGTCATTTAAATTTGTTTCAATCTCAAAAGATATGTGAGATCATCATCTTGTTAAGCAAACAGTGTGAAATGCAAACAGAAATTAAATAGCCCATGATGAGTAGTAATGCTTTTATTGTACAATTCAAAATAAGTTTAATTTTGTGCGAAAAAAAAAGTTAATTTGTAATGCGATTATAAAGCTTTAAATGGATTTTCAGATCATGGCGAAACTGACCAAGGTTCAAGAGTTCTACAAAGGCAAAACAATCTTCGTGACAGGTGCTTCTGGATTTATGGGAAAAGTCCTACTTGAAAAGTTACTTTACTCATGTTCTGATGTCAAACAAATTTTAATTCTCGTCAGACCAAAGCGCGGAAAGTCAGCTGCACAAAGAGTCCAGGAATTTTCAACGCTTCCGGTGAGTTAAACTTTTTGTTCAATTATCTTCTGTTGCTGAAAGATGAAACAATCATTAAAAAAGAGAAATCGGCAATTAACTAAATTTTTCGTTAATCAAAGTCTCTGACATTGCGCATGATTTGTGTAATTTCCCAAATATCTAATTTGTTATGAAATTCACAATCTTTGTACATATTCAAATGATTAAAACTCGAGATGAAAATTTCAACACACATCGTCTTAAGTACATTAGATTGAATCTCACGTAACTCAGCCATTTCACGTGATTTGAAGTGTTAATGAAGGTGAAGAGACCACTTGCACATGATTTTCGGTAGTTAAATTACCTTACGATGCTCTTTTTTCTCGCTCTTTTTAAACTGAAGCTGTGCATGAAATTTTAGTTTTTATTATTTGACCTTGATCGCAAGGCTTTGTGTTGAACAGAAATTAAAATTTCTAGGTACAAAGTAAGCGCCTTTTTTTTGTTCAGTTGCGTTTACCTTAAAGTGGTATGGCTAACTCGCATTTCATGACAACGCTTATTACTCGTCGTTTTCTTTCGACATCCTAAAGAAATAAATTTGAAACTTTTCAAGTTGGGAAATCCCCCAAAAATTAATTAAAAGTTTAAAGTTCGATTAACCTTGAAATTTTATTGTAAACCTTAAAGTAACGTTAACATTTTGTTGAAGACGAAAATAGATTCAAAATGAATCTTCGATAATTTGCAAAACAACTTAGCATCATGACGATGTCCAAACATATTCGTATAACTTTAAATCAACAACCTGCGCGTAAATCTATCTATGAGTTGGGTACGCAAATTTGTAAAAAACTTTAATGTTTGTTTGAAGATTTCAAGACTTTCAAAGCAAAACATTTCAATTTTCTTTACGATAGTTGAGCCTTGAAACTAAAATACTTACAAGCAACTCTTGCATCAATTGATGACATTGAAAATAAAATCTCTTTTTATTAAATGATCGTTCATAATTTTTCCAATTCAATCATAATTATCTCTTAATGTTTATAGCTGCGAAACTCCGCTGTCATCTTACTTCATCTAAAATTGTATTTTAACACACCGTAATGATTTATGAAATTCGATTACATGTGACAAGCTTAATGTTATTAAATTTCTTTCTTATAGTGTAAATAAATAAATTTTCATGTTTGTAGAGTAAGAAAAAGTTTACTGAAGCTTCATTAACCCGAAAGATATCAATAAAATCGCTACAAAAATATGTTTCACGACACATGACCTTAACTTGTTTATTTTACTTCAATTCTCTTAAAATCTTTCACAAGACTTAAAGGATTAAAAGTATTTTTAATAAGAGATTTGGAATTAAATCTTTAATACGAAATTGAGCTTTGAGATTTCTTAATTGATTGGATTTCAATTTCATGTATAATTAATTTTGTTTTCCTACATTTATCAGATGTTCAAGAGAATCAATGAAGAGAAACCTGAAATATTACAAAAGATTGTCCCAGTTTTTGGTGACATTACTCATCCAAATTTTGGTTTAAGTGACGAACAACTTGCGAAGGTTGTTGACGAGTCAGAAATTGTAAGTGTAACAAAGCATTAAAGCTAAGCTCAAAATGTAACAAATTTCTATTGTTAATTTACCATTCCAGGTCTTTCACATGGCAGCATCGTTGAAACTTGAAGCAACACTTAAGACAAATGTCATAATGAATTTATTAGGAACAAAACATGCCATCGATGTGTGTAAAACGATGAAGAAACTCATTCTCATGGTTCATTTATCAACAGCATTCTGTACTTGTGATGAAACTGGCAGACTCTACGAGCGTGTTTACAATTGGCATCACGATCCAGATCAATTATTGCGATGTGCTGAATGGATTGACGATGCTACATTAGAATTGATGACTCCAAAGCTTCTTGGACCTCATCCCAACACTTACACTTACACCAAAAGATTAGCAGAGATTCTCGTCGAAAGGGAATACAATTCACTTCCAGTGTGCATTGTTCGACCATCAATTGGTGAGTTTGTTTGAATATTTCCAAAAAACACAAAAAAGCAAACAAATGTTGAACGTGAAACCTCTCTTGTCTTTATTTTTAAACAAATTCATCAGTCACACCAGCGTTCGAAGAACCACTCCCAGGATGGGTTGACAATTTGAATGGGCCAGTTGGAATTATGATTGCTGCAGCCAAGGGAGTCTTGAGAACACTTTTGTGTAATGGTGAATATTGTGGTGAATGTATTCCAGTTGATTTTGCTATCAATGGACTCATCGGCATTGCAATGAACGTCTCGACACAGAAGGAAAAGTAAGTTGACCTTGGTAACATATCTTCTGATTTTATTAAACTTTTTTTTGTCAGGTCAAAGGAAATTCCCGTGTTTAACGTCACTTGTAATCCCGGGTCAAAACGACCTTGGGGCGAGGTTCTTATGGAAGGTCGAAAGATGAATGAATTGTATCCATTCGAAGCTGGCTTATGGTATCCAGGTGGTGACATTACAACCAACAAATTCGCACATAAATTAAATGTCGCTTTGTTCCATTGGGGGCCAGCTTATCTCATCGATGGTTTAATGTTCTTGTTTGGTCAGAAACGATTGTGAGTAGCCATTAAATTTAATGCATTTAAGTTTAATAAACACTTCTTTTTATAATTAACAGCATGAGACGAGTTCAACAGAAGATCTCGCAAGGTCTTGACGTGATAACATTTTTCACTACACGTGAGTGGGTTTTTGATGCCACCAAATTCTTGTCAGTTTATAAACAAATGGAACCGGAAGATCAGAAAATGTAAGAAAATATTTTTATTAACTGCAATTAATTATTAATAATTTGAATCTTCATCAGATTTTATATGGACACGATCACAATTCCAAAAGAACGCGAGCATGATTATCTTCGTGACACAATGTTGGGTGGTCGTCAATATTGTTTGAAGGAACCACTTTCAACACTTCCAAAAGCTCGAATCCAACTGAAAATGTAAGCAAATGATTGACATTTCTGGGACATAATTTAATTAATTTTTTTATTTATCTACAGCATGTACTGCTTGGATCGCTTCTGCAAAGCTTTGTTCTTCTATTACATGATTAAACTCTTCCTTAGTCTCACCGGTTTCGATGTCATCCTCTCAGATTTCATTGATGAGTTGAAAAACAACGTTTCAAGTACAACCGAAGTTTAATTTGGATATTTTTTTTACATGTTACACAATAATAATCAATTGAAGTTTTCATTTGCTTTTTAAAATTTTTTATTTAATTTTTTCTGTTGTTGAGGGAAATAAATTTACATTGATTATAGTATAATTGAACTTTTGTTGTGTTGATTTTAATGCGACATTTAGAAATAGGTAATTAATAATTAATAATATTTTTCAATTTGTTACATTCCTACAAGTTGAATATTTCCGATTTATTCAGTTTGTTGAATAAATGGAGCGCAATCGATCTTGACCTTCTACATTCGAATGAAAATCGACACAATTTTTATCGAATTAAACTTCAACAATTGACTCATCGGACATTCCCAAGGATGTGATAATTTCTTTTGTAACATTTGTCGTCTCGGATGTTGATTGAATAACATTTGATGCAATCTAAACAAATAAAGTCGAAATCGCTTAATTTTCAAACTTTCAAGTCTTTCTTTAATTTTACATTTTACCATCAATTTCTTCCAGTTTTCATATTCAACCGAAACCAACAACTTTTCTTTATCAATACTTCACCTTCAACTTAAACTTACAGTGAATTTAAAAATACTTTCCCTTGGTTTACTCATTGAAGCCTTCAATTTTTCTTTATTTGCAACTCGTAACGTTCAAGTTCTCCATTAACATTGACTGGTGTCTCTAGTTTAAAATCTTGAAAGTTTAAACGAGATTCAAGACTCAATTACTTTTATCTTTTGGAAGGAAAAATGAATTCTTAAGGTTTCTGATTCTCTCGTTGTCCTTGTTGCAATACTTTCAATTTTTTTGTTTCGAGTTCCTGGTGGAACTCTTAATGAAGCAGAATAAATGATGAAGAGAATGTAAGCCAGAGGAATCACTGCGTGATCATGAAGTAACTCGAGTTTCGATAGACATTAACGACAGATAAATTTTATTTTATTGATTAAATAATTTGCATTTTTCATTCGAGTATTCGTAAACAAAAACACGTCAGAGGATTAAAGAGCAACAGCTGTAAATTCAATTATTTATCAACGATGTGAGTTCGTAATTTTTATTGCCATAATCAAGAAAGTTTCTTACTTATTGATAAGATAATATTGCAATGTGTGGCTTGTTAATAACTCTAACTAGAGCAGTATTTAATCACATGTTTGAAGTATAAGATGTTGCTTCAAGAAATTTCGAGTTTCTTCTTTGCCTTTTTTGTTGTGGGGCTTGGAGTCTTATCCAACTATTTCCTGCATCGTCTCGATGTTAAGCCACTTAAAATTATTCAAGAAGTGAGAAAGAAATAATTTTTCCATTTTAATTGAAATTATTTTAATTTTCAATAATTTTGTTATCTTATCAGGAGAATAATTCAGATCGTTTTATTGCTGAACGCGCTTATATGAATCTAAAAACTCTCAATGACTTCGGTAATCAATTTCTGTATGATTGTAAATAACTCAATGAGTAATCCTCATGTTTTGTTTGTTTTTATGCAGGTCCAAAAGTGGTCGGTAGTGATGCTAACGAAATTCTGGCTTTTAATTACATTTTTGACACACTCAATGATATTAGAAATAATTCGAAGTTAAAAGATGAAATTATTGTTGACACTCAAGTTGTTTCAGGTCACAACTTTGTTAGTGCATCTTATGAAAATCTCCAAAACATTGTTGTGAGAATTCAAGGAGAGATTGATAATGCAATGATGATGAATTGCCACTTCGATTCAGTTCCTGGAAGTCCCGGTGCATCTGATGATATCGTCATGTGCTGCGTGATGATTGAAATTTTCAGAGTGCTGGCGAATTCCAACCACAAGCAGAAAAATTCGATTATTTTTCTATTCAATGGTTCAGAAGAAGAAGACTTACAAGCTGCCCATGGTTTTGTCACCCAACATCGATGGGCTAAAGATATCACTGGTTACATTAATCTTGAAAGTACAGGAAGTGGTGGAAGGGAACTTCTTTTCAGAAGTGGACCAAAACACGATTGGTTGATTCGTTTATATCGTCAATCAGTTCCAAGGCCATTTGGTCAAGCAGTAGCTGAAGAACTCTTCGAGACTGGCGTCATTCCATCGGCAACAGATTTTGAAATTTTCAGGGACTTTGGGGAAACTCAGGGATTGGATTTTGCTTACGTCGAAGGTGGTTGGAGATATCATACGCGATACGACAGCATTGAATACATAACAATGGAGTCAGTTCAATATACCGGTGACAACATTTTAGCATTAACAAGAGAGATGGCAAATTGCGATGAGATTGCTGATCCACCTGAAGGATCTTTCGCTGTTTATTTTGATTATCTTGGACTTTTCTTTATTTCCTATTCGAAGGAAGTTGGAATTGGGTTGAACATTGCCATCAGCATAATCGCTGTCATCATTCCATTCGTGATTCAAACAGAACTCAAACTCAAAAATATTTTTCCGGTTGTCGTTGAAACTTTTGTCTCGTTCTTCACAATATTATTGAGCACAGCATTATCAGCTGTTGCTTGTTACTTGATGGCAATGATTATGAATGCAGTTGATAACACCATGAGTTACTTCAACGTCACTTTTCTTTCTATTGGAGTTTATGGATCATTAGCGTTACTCGTTCAACTTGCAACTTATCAATTGGTTGATTTTTTGATTCAGTTTATCAGGAAAAAGTTTTCATCGGAGAAGAAAATTTCGGAAGACAAACGAAGACGTTTGATGATCCATTTAAATGGAATTAATTTATTCTGGGCTGTGATAACTTTAGCAATCACAACATTGGGATATCGATTCGCTTACATCACAATGGTGATGCTTTTCGTGTCATTTGGCACCCAAATTATCATTTATGGAGCTTGCAAAGTTCTTCCCAAAACAAGTTGAATACGAGATTTAATCAAAAGATTCTTAATTAACAAAATTCTTCTCTTTAGGATTCCACAGTTGGATTTTCATTCATCTGTTAGGTCACAGCTTCCTTTTCTTATGGCTCTGCTACATGATGATTCAAGTTTGGGAACTTTTCATACCGATCACTGGCAAAGCATATTATCCAAATCCCGACATCACCATTGCATTGATTTGTACACTTTGGACAGTTCTTTGTCTCAGTTATTTTGTAAGTAGAGAAGCTTCAATTAAAACTTTTTATTTTTCAATTCATAAACTTTCAGTTACCACTCACAACTCTCGTTCAATATCGAGGAATTTTATATTCGATGATAATCACAACTTTCTTAGTGTCGTTAATCATTTCGTTAACTTCAATAGGATTTCCATACAGCGATAACCGTTCAGATCCTAAACTTCAACGATTCAGAGTCATTCATTCGAAACGAACTGTTATTGACTACAATTCTGGTGAAGAAACTTATACTGACATTGGCTATTTGCTTTCTACGATCGATAGAAATGCTTTGCGAACATTGGAAATGAGTTTTGATCCAAATGATCTCTCAGATTATAAGGAAGATGCAAAATGCAAAGAGTTGTCCTATTGCGGTTTTCCATTGTATCGATTTATTGACGGAAGATATTTGAAAGGAAACGAACCACCCACGCTTCAACCAACAACTATTGAACTTCTCAAATTTTCTCGTAACAGTTCACATATTGACGTAGAATTTTCTCTACAACTTACAACATTAACAATGATTTATGTGACTCCAGGTGAGATAAAACATGTTTGTAATGATTTTGTGTTTTATTTATAATTTCATAAAGGAAAAGGATGGACATATAGTGTTGGAAACGTTCCTACCTCCAATCTAATATGGAATGCCAAACCTTTTGTATACTCGAAAATAACTTATGGGAAAAGAATAGATAAACCTTGGATTTGGTCTTTTACTTTAGAAGTAAGTGAAAATTGATTTTAATTTATATCCTGAAGTTCCTTTGATTGCACAAATATTTTTGAACTTTGTAAGCTTTTTGAGCGGGGCCTTAACTTTCATGACTTTTCCAATTGAGTCAAGTAACTTGAATAATTTGAATCAAGTCAAGTCATATTCGATTCGAGGCTTTCCTTAATAATTTATTAGTCAAAGTATGAAGACGAATTTGACTTGCTACAATAAAAAATTAAAGTTTTATTCTAATAATTTAATTAATTAATTAAATCGTGTTTAAAGTTTTAAGAAAAATTGGCAAACTTTTGCACTGAATTAGTTAATTTTTTTACTTTAATTAAATTTTAATTACAGAATTCGCTTGGAGCGGATGAATCAAATCCAGTCAGCATATCAATAGCAACAATCGAGTCGGTATTTGAAAAAGCATCCGAGTTTTCTCAAGTTATGTCAAAATTCCCCGATTGGACGTTCTCGATGGA